CAAACAGGGTGATATATTTATTCAGGGTGATATATTTATTCTGTTAGCTTCATGTTCAGATACTCATATGCAAAAGTTTATGAAAAATAGTGGGTTAGAGTAAATTGGTAGTCATGTGACATGCACTTGGTTTCATTATTTGGTGTTCTTTTGAGGTTTTAAATCTTTTAAATAATGTAGGAAGCTGAATGCAATAGTAAAAGTGGAAAAATAAAATATATCGACATATATAAGGAAATAATCATTGTTAAAAAATCAATTCCAATAGTTTTATATCTACCATCTAATTGTCTTTGTATGAGAACATGCAGCAGTTCAAATTTCCACATTACTGCCTAGGGAGCTTAAATAAGCTGTTGGTTCAGACTCAAATTATCTCCACCATGAGTTATAACAGCCTTTGAACTGCTCTCAACCTCTCAGAAAATCGAAGTTCCTTCTGGAAACACAAATCTAAACAATTTACTATCTTATCTAAAGTCTACTGCATCTGATCTTCCCCAGTGTTCAGCACAGTACTTTGTAGAGCAGGAGCTCTATATACATTTTTGTTTAATAAATGAACAAGTTACTGAATTAACTTCTAACACCAAAGTTCAGATTATATGTTGGAGACTGTTATGGCTCTTGTGTTTGAGCACTGATTAGGAAGATTGTGGAGCCTTGCTGGAGGAAGTGAGTTGCTGGGGATGGGAGGAAGCTGAGATCTGATATCCTGGTCCTCCTGCTTGTCTATTCTCTGCTTCTTCACTGCAGGTGCAATATGTCCAGAAGCTTCAGACTCCTGCTGCCACACCTTTCCCTGCTATGATGGACTATATGACCTCAGACTGTAAGCCAAAATAAGCCTTTACCACCTTTAAGATCAGGTATTAGATGATAGCAAAATAGAAAGTAATTAATACAGAAATGTAAGATGAAATCTATACATGTCAGAAAACCCAGACTTCACTGTTAACTTTTAAAAGAATAGGGATAATTTTCTTGTGCCTCCTTAACAATTCTACCTTACAGGTACTTGGTTTGATGGCCTGCCAGTAAGAATTACCTATCAGTATCACATCTTTCAGAGGATGATAACCTAGTTGGCAGCTACTACTTTTAGAGAACATTGCGTTACTGGGTGACTTCTTACAAAACCATCAAGCTGGGAAGCAGGAAGCTATCAGTTATGGATCGTATCTTCCAGAACAACCCAAGAAGTTCTGAAGACAATTACTAAGAATCACAAGTTAATTTTTATATTAAACTAAATAGCACCTTTACACTAAGCTGAGTCACAAATGTTCAAACCATCTGCAGTAGTCTTTTCAAGTGATAGGATCTAGGCTTACTGCTACTGCTGCTCTGAAGATGATAATTAAGGTAACAAGGCATTTACTATCCAGTCAAATAAGCCTGTGATATATTAGTTCATCTAACCTTAACTTCATCCCTACAATATTAAGAATTATTCCCATTTTGTAAATAAGATTGTAAGGTACTAAATAATTTGCCAGTATGGTCAATCTAAAAGAAAGATAAATTCTATTTATTCTGTCAAGCTGATCAAGATGATACTATCCTAGCAAAGTATCTCGGCTCATACTAGTACGTCTGATTCCTCTCTGTGCTCTGGATCTATGAAAATGGCAGCACGGTACTTAAGAGTCAAAAATTCAGTGCACATCACACATTCTATGATGTCCACAGTTTTCTTTCAGGACTTAGACACTTCCTCCAAGGACTTACAGACAAAAAAGAGAAAATATCTTTCACATACACCAGTGGGTAAGAAGATGCAAGTGCTAATTAACTTGTCATTGGGATGCTTTTATATGCCTCTAACTATTTGAATTTTATGTATCAATTCTTTAAGATTTTTTTATAGACCATTGAGCATCTGAAGTAAAAAATGAAGGGGGTGGTATAGTTAAAGGCATAGAATAGAATTTCTTTCTTTTCAAGTGAAATAAATATCCATGGAAAGTTTCTTGACAGATAAATTACTGCCAGTCAGAAATGAAATGTTAAGTCCTAAATCAATGAAGCTTGGTGGCTCTTCAATATATAGAAAAGATTTTTACTGCTGATGCTAGGTTTAGTAGTGGTGTGTCAGGCCATGCAATGGCTAGTCTCAAGTTGAATGCTGACACTAAGTTTGGTAAAATTGTCAGGCCCCTTCAATGTTGTCTTTACTTTTCTATTTCTGTTGTAAGATATTGTAACCAATGCAACTTATAGAAGAAAGAGTTTATTTGGGGCTTACAGTTTGCAGAGGTTAGCTAGAATTCACAATCACCATAGCTAAGAGCATTCCAGACTATTCTCATTCAAAGGATCACAAGTAGTCTCAAGCTGAATGCTGATGCTAGTTCTACTGGTAAGACTGTCAGGCCCTTGAGTGGTTACCCTGCACATGAACTAAGTTGGAAGCTATTCCAATACTGCATGGCCCTCCACCCAAAATACTGGCTCTTGGGAATTTGAAACCTCTTTGAAATAGTAAGCAAACTAATGAGCTCCCAGCTCTTAAGTGAATGATTTTTGAATTCTTAATGGAGAGTTACCTCTGCACTGAGCACATGGACACATCTGAAAATTCCACAGAAAGAAGTCGTTCATTTGTGTAAGTACAATATACTTGAGGATCAGGCTCTAAGAGTGACATTATTCTCATTCTGCTCTTCCAAGAACATTTTTCCTCTTAGTACTTATACTCCACTGTATCTCCCAATACCCTCCTTGTCTCTTGGCTTTATGAAAACACAGTGACACAGTCAATAGGTAATTTCCTGTCATTCATTATGCTTTCCTTCCCAGTAGAACTGACTGGTGTCTAACTTAAGCCTCTTTTCTTCCTAACACAATGAGCTTCTACTTACTCTTTCTTCAACTCAAGAGCATGGCTTTGTAATTAGCTCTGGCAAACAGTTTTGATTAATCTAGTCAATAAGTATGCTTCTATCCTTCTAGCAAATAACTGGTTCAGAAAGAGTTATGTGAATAAATTTTGGCTAATTAGGTGCCACAAATCTGATGGGTACCTTCTAGAAAGAGCTTTTCACTACTGAATATTACCATACCTGAATTAAATCTCCAGAATTATGCATATTTATGAATTGTAAGAGTGCAGTGGTTTTACTTTTTAAAATTTGATTATGTACATATGTGTATGCACATATGAATATTCATGTGTGAGTGTAGCCACATGTATGCATGTGCATATATGGAAGTCAGAGACAAGCTCAGGTGTTGGTCCTTACTTCTACTTCTTTTTTGACACAGGGTCTTTTGATCACTGCATATACCAAACTCTCCTGTCTCTAATTTCAATTTTGCTTCAGGGATTACAGATGAATGCTGACATGCCTGGCTTTTACTCAGGCTGCAAGGATTCTAACTCAGGGCCTCATACTTGTATGCTAAATCCTTTGCCCACTAAGCTGTCTCCCCAGATGTTTTCAACAATGAAGAGGTATTAGTTATATAATTTACAAAAGCCCTCTCAAATGTCTTGGAAAAATATTTATATGAGTCTGCAAGTATCTATTAAGAAGAAGCCAGGCAAAATAAACATCTATAAGAGTGGAGTTAGACACCAGAGAAGAGCAAAAAGCAAGGCCACTTTCCTGTAGAACTACTGTCCTGAGAGAAAGAAAATGATCCACAAGAACCCACTAGGGACAGATTCCAGGTCATTCTATAAAGCAAGACCCAGCAATACCACTCTTGACACAGGTAGACCAAGCTATATAACTGTCACATATATGTAAAGGGCCTAGGTCAGTCCCATGCAGGCTCCCTGGTTGTTGGTTCAGAATCTGCAAGTTCTATGAGCTAGGTTAGTTGTTCCTGTGGGTGTCCTGAGATGTCCTTGATCCCTCTGGCTCCTACAATCTTTCCTCCCTGTCTTCAACAGGATTCTCCTAGTTTGGTCTAATGTTTGGCTGTGGATCTCTGCATCTGTTTCCATCAATTACCAGATAAAGGCTCTCTGGTAACAATTGGGGTACTCACCAACAGGAGATGGCCTGTTCTAGCTACATATGCACTATTGCTATGAATCTTAGCTTGGGTCATCCTTGAAAATTCATGGAGTATCCCTTATATCAGGCTTGTACTTGACACTGAAAAGCTCCACTTTCTGGTCCCACAACATTCACATACATTCATTTTTTTTAATGGTAACAGATAAGCATTAGAAAGCACATGAAGGAAATGAAACTACACTGCTGGCAGAATCAACAGATCATGGAGAGCCCAGCCTAAAGGGATACACCTACAATACAGGTCATGCATCTGTGGTTTGGGGAACATGGCAGGAGAAAGGACAGAAAGACTGTAAGAGACAGAATATCATGGAAACTGCTGTGAAAATCTCTCCTAGAGGCAGCTACATAAACAAGACTGAAACAACAGCAATATCAAATGGTTTTGTTAATAAGGAATGGGGAAAATCTTATAGGTCACACAATGAACTACAGGCAACTAATGATTGTTGGAAGAGACGCCATGTAGAGATAGGGAAGACAGGACACATCAGGCGTTCTCTGGTAAGATAAGACCATGTAGAAATATATATATTAGTAATTATGGGTTAATAATTAAAAAAGAGCTATCCAGTGAGAATTCCTAGCCATTGGCCAATAGTTTAATTATTTTAAAAAAAGGTAGAACAGAAACTTTCAAATACACAGACATATATGTATATAAGAATAATAAAGAAAAAGGGGCTATCAAGTTGTGAGATGTAGGGATCATGGAAGAGGTTTAAAATAGGGTAGCTGGGAGGGGCTGGAGTTGAGAAAAGGGAGGGGGAAAGAGATGTAATTATATTTCAATTAAAAACATATTTTAAAAAGCCAACATAAAAAATAAACAAAAGGTCCTGTAAGATACCTTTATCATCCAGATATTTTTTGACATCATGAGAAACACTGACTTGATAGACCTAAAACTTTTCTTTTACATCAGTGACAAAGTAAGTTTATAAAACAAGCAAGCAAAAACTGACTTACGTTCACATTCTCTGACATCCAGGTTAAACTGCTGTAATGCTCCCAAAGTGAGTTGTCTTACTTCTGCTTCCAACAATAGCTGCATCAAGGATGTGGCTAAATGCTTGCAAGCTGACATACAGGCTGTCTGGGCCACCTTTCCCTGAAATACAAACATGTAAACAAGAAAATTATTGGATTAAAATAAAATATCATCTAATTTATTCATTTGTTTATTTAAGATAGTATCTCACTTATCCCAGGATGGCTTTGTTCTTGCTGTGTAGGAAAGGATGACCTTGAATTTGTAATCTTACTGTCTTGACCACCCAGTGTTGGGGTTTTAGGTGGGTACCACCATGCCTAGGTTATATGGTGCTGGGGTCAAACTGAGGTCTTTGTGCACTTTATCAACTGTTAATATTCCCAGATATGAAAGTTTAAATAACTTATTCTATTCTTCAATTAGGAATTTCTTTAACATTTTCCCTATCATGATACTCTTATATCCAGTAGTGTTGGAACTAAGCATAGTTAACAGCAATTATTTTAAATAGTGACTCCAATTCCACCAGTCATGGTAGTGAGAACGCTAAGATATATTCACAAAACCCAACTATGGAACCAATACCCATATTTTAAAGATTAACAGTAGAGAAGCAATATTTAAAAATGGGAAGTAAACTGAGAAAGAATGTTACAGAGAGAATAAACTTGAAAAAGTATCTTACAAAAAATTCTTTATAAATTCTAGCAAAAGTCTCTAGATACAAACTGGTGTCTACTGTTCTATGACTTGTCAGTAAACTCAAAACAAAAACGGCCTCCAAAATGTAAAAGGGTAAATTTTGTTTTCTTAGGAAACTTTGGGATTTACAAATGAATTCTAAGCTAATTTTAAAAACAGACTTAAAATTAATATTTAACTATCTTTATGAAAGCATTCAAAGTGCACATATATTCACTAATATTACAAACACAGTTTATGCTCCTGGATGACACCTTTAACTACTGTCCTACTTTGCATCAGAAGTGGCCATTATTGGTGTTAGGTTGCCCTTTTGTACAACCACTGTAAGTACTATTCTGGGGGGCTGGGGTAGGGGCTCAATGATAGACCACTTGCCTAATGGTGCCTGAGGCCTTGGGATCCATTTCTAGGGCTACAAAGAGGAAAAAAAGAAAAAGAAATGCTGCTATAGCAAACACATAACCAGAAAAACCAGGTTGCTCTGTATGCCAAACTGTAGCCACACCTGCACTACACTTTACTTATTATGCATCCTGTTGTAGCCTGCCATGGAATGTGATTCTTTTGGATCATATCTTTAAGCTCTCTTCCTCTTTAAACAGGAAATTATCACCCCTATTTCCCCCACTATATGAATGTGGAGGCTGGAATCATCTTTTATAGAGATACCTCAGGCCAATGATTAACCTAGGCCCTAACTTGTTACTCTATTTGTATCTTTACTGAAGATTTTGGAGGAAGTGGTGTCTGAACATTTCCCCTCTTTGTGTAAATCCTGGTAATTGCTCACCTTCTGCACATTGGCACTTTTGTGTCTGTTTATTATTATTTAGATTGCCTAATCTCATAGATTTCACTCTACGTGTGCAAAAATTAGCCATCGCTTCCCAGGAATCACAATGCTTATTTCTCACTCTATTCCTCAGGATGGCTTCTTCAACACTTAAATACTTCCTTGAACACAGAAGTCACTTTATCCCAAGCTCTGGTCAAATTGGGACAACAGCACTGCCATTTTTCAGGGTTCAACAGCAGGCAACTGTGGGGCTCTGATTATCTTCTTTCTCTGGGATCACCACCCTGCACTGCCAGCTGTCCAACATAAAGCATCTAGTCTAAGACTCAAGGTCAAGGCTGGTACTAGTTACTGTATCATTATTAGAAATGGTATCTCATCCTTTCCCTCTGTAATTTCCTTATGCTAAGTATATATTGATAAGTATATATGGATAACCTTATCTTTCTTCCAAAATTTCTGAAGTTTCAGCTATTGTCCTCTGGCCTCACCACACTTGTAAGAATTCCACTATTATTTTTACTACCTCCAATGTGCCTTTGTTCTCTATAAGCTTTTAAAAGATTCTTTTTTACTTTTTTTAAACACAGGATTTCATGTAGAATAGGATGACCTCAAACTAGTTATTAAGCTGAGGAGTGGTCTTGATTCCTGATCTTCATGTCTCTCTATTGAACAAGTACTGGGATTACAAATATGTTATACTTACACAATTTAGGCAGCGCTGGGAATGAACCCAGGGCTTGATTCCTGCACATTCTATCAACTGAACTACATCCCAGCACTATTAAGATTTCTTTTTTCTACATTTAAGATCAGCAACCTCATCATCACTTATCTACAAAAAACGTTCTTTCAACATACTACACATGTTTCTATGAGCTTGAGGAATCTGGAGTAAGGCATCTTATCTTCTCTGGTATGAAGGCACCTTGAGCACTACTGTTCTAGAATATTTGTTTAACAACGTAAAGATGTGTTGCTTTTGTTTATGCTGCATTTGTTTAACTCTGTGAAGCTGTGATTCTTTGACTATCTAAAACACTCTATGATCTAATAAAGAGCTGAACGGCCAATAGTGAGGCAGGAGAGAGGACAGGCAGGGCTGGCAGGCAGAGAGTATAAATAGGAAAAATGAGGAGGAGTACTCCAGGGGCCTGCAACCCAGCCAGCCATGGACTAAGAGTGAACATAAGACATACAGAAGTAAGAAAAGAAAAGCCCAGAGGCAAAAGGTAGTCGGGATAATTTAAGAAAAGCTGGCAAGAAACAAGCCAAGCTAAGGCCTGTCATTTTTTAATTAAGAATAAGCCTCATGTGTGATTTATTTGGAAGCTGGGTGTCAGACCACTCAAAATAGTAAAGCCTAAAGGGCAAAAAGAGTAGAAAAAACAAACAACAATGTTTTGGTGTACCAATGTGGGGCTAGAGGAAAAGAAAATCCAACAATACACTATTTCCTTGAATGATGCTTTTGTATTTCTATTTCTCTTTCCTCTCTCAGAACATTGAAAGTAGACAGGCCCACACTGTCCACATAAACTTGGAGTGGTAGTTTGAATGCAGTTGACTCCCATAATTTCATTGGAAGTGGTACTATTAGGAGGTGTGGCTTTGTTGGGGTGGGTATGGTCTTGTTGGGGGAAGTGTATTACCATGTGGGTGGACTTTGAGGTTTCCTATGCTCAGTATACTGCCTAATTTCTTAGTTGACTTCCTGTTGCCTTCAAGATAAACGCCCAGCTACTACTCCAGTACTACAACTGTCTTTCTGCCATGGTCCTCATCACAATGATAATGAACCTCTGAAACTGTAAGCAAGCCACACCAATGAAATGTTTTACTTTATAAGAGTTTTCTGTTTCAAAGCAACAGAAATCCTAAGACACTCAGTTGCATTTTTTTTTTTAATAATATACTCAGTAGAAACCATCGTTGAAATCTCAATCTTTTTGAGACATGGACCTCTTGTGATGCTGGACAGCAGTGACAATGGATATCCACAGACACAGAATATCATGAGCCAACAGCATGCTATGCTCAGCTGGTGTTTAATATGTCAGATGCATTGTCAATGTCCTATTAACTTAGGATTTGTTCGTTAGGATTTATTCTCATCAGGTGAACAAAATGTATCTTAGTCCTTTCAACACTTCTCCACAAATTAGGGGGTATGAGGGAAGAGACATTTTATGTTTCTTTTTCATCCTTTTTTCTATTTTGGACAAGATCTTGTGATATAGTCAAGGTTAGCTCAAAATTGCATTCCCATTTCACCTACCAAATAGCACTGCAACATTCAGCTAATCTAGGTGCTTTCTACAGATTTGATCTTGGGTTTATTCAACTTGAACTCAGGTTTGAGTATATTGCTGTATTGGCTGGTTTTGTGTGTCAATTTGACATCAAGACAGAGTCATCAGAGAGGCAGGAGCTTCCATTGAGGAAATGCCTCCATGAGACCCATCTGTAAGGCATTTTCTCAATTCGTGATCAATGGCAGAGGTCCTAGCCCATAGTGGGTGGTGCCATCCCTGAGCTGGTGGTCCTGTGCCCTGGGTGGTCCTGGGTTCTATAAGAAAGCCTGAGCAAGCCTGGGAAAGCAAACCCATAAGCAGCACTCCTCCATTGTCTCTATATCAGTTCCTGCCTTCAATTTCCCACCCTGTTTAAGTTCCTGTCTGGCTTCCTTCAGTGATGAACTACAATGTGGAAGTTTTCACTTCCAAATAAACTGTTTCCTCCCCAACTTGCTTTTTGGTCATGGTGTACTTGTTGCATGTTTTGTTCAATGTAATTAAAGTACTTTTAAAAACTCAGTAATAAAATTAGCTGCTGTAATGTACATTTGTAATCCTAACACTCAAGCGGCAGAAGAGTTTGAGGCAAGCCTGGTATAAGGCATACCCTCCTCCCTGCTCCCATATGAATCTTTAATCTCAGATTTTGCGATTTAGAGTGGACAATGAATCTTAATGCTGTTAAAACATCCCATCTTTTCTGCTATTTTGTCCATTTTCCCTAACTATAATTTGAAAGAAAATGGCCCTCAAAGTACTGGAAATTGTGGCATTGTTGGAGGAAGTGTGTGTGGGTAGGCTTTGATGTCTCATATATGCTCAAGCTTTGCTCAGTGTGCCACACAGACCATTTCCTGTTGTCTACAAGATGTAGGATTCTCAGCTGCTTCTCCAGTACCATGTAGAACTGAACATTGGCATATTCCCAACCACCATGCTCTCCACCATGCTTAATGGGTTAAACCTCTAAAACTGTAAGCCAACACCTCAAGTAAATGTTTTCCTTTATGAGACTGTCATGGTCAGTTGGGTGGTGGTGGCGCATACCTTTAATCCCAACACTCAGGAGGCAGAGGCAGGCTGATCTCTGTGAGTTCGAGGGTAGCCTGATCTACAGAGTGAGTTCCAGGACAGCTTCCAAAGCCACAGAGAAACTGTGTCTCGAGCACCCCCTCCCCCCAAAAAAGATTGTCATGGTTTTGGTGTCTTTTCACAGCTAAGACACCTAAAGGTTTGTTTCTTTGGGTTTTTTTTTTTTTTATGTTAACATCAACATGTGAATCATCTCAGGACCTGTACCTATTGACTATGTGAAC